AGAGTGCACATGAAAAGGAAAGTCAGAAAGGATCAAATATTACATCTATCTCCCTTGAAACTCTATCTGACCTCAGGAGCCATCCAAAATGGTGTCCCTACAGATGTGTTCCGCCGGTGCCGGGTGCTGGTGAGCTGTGCAGACACACCTGCAAGGAAGAGACAAGACATGCTTCTTGCTTTAATTATTCATGTAAAGAGCTTCCAATTGCTAGACATTTTCTTAAACTAATAGTAAAATTTTGTTCCCTCAAAGCAGCCAGTGGACTTAACGTCACATTAAAGGATCCGAAATCAGTCTTTCTGCATAGCCAAAATACAAAGGGGCCTTTGTATTTTCTGTTTCTCATATTCAAATCCTGCTCATCCCTAAAGCCCACTTCCTGTCTTAGTTCCCCTATGCTGACGTGTAATCTGCTCCTGATCACACCAATTTCTATTTCTTTTGATCTTCTATATTTTAAACTATTTGTCTCTAATACATTTTTGGGCAGGTAATCGTTATTTGAATGCTGTGCTTACTTCCCTCCCTCTTCCTCACCCTGCCCACTAACAAATGCTGGCGAAGTTGATAACGTTCTATATGGTGTTGTCACATAGTAGGCGACCTGTGAATATGCATAAAATTATGTTCCATCTATCAACCCTGGACAAATCACACCTGATCTGCTTGGAAGTTTCAAATTAAGTGCATCTGTTTAAACCAACACCATTAATAGAACCTGTTCTTTTCCTTCAGAGAGATTATAGACTGAAGGGCTATGACGAAGAGGTGTAACCAAGGAGTTCAGTCGTGTCATCCCATTAATTTCACCTGCTTAAACATAATAACACGCCTTCAAGACAATTAGGAGTAAGGTCTGTCTTCCCGATTTTCACAATCCTGCTCCTCACGCCAGGGATCCTGTTTACCTCTGATGGTGCTCCCATCTTTGACCTACTCTAGACTTGCTGAGTCATACCCAAATCGTGGGCTTTCACTCTGTGATTTCCCTGCTTTGAAAAGTACCTCCCAGGTGTCATATTAGTTTTTGGATCTGGTTGCTTATCTTATAAGCCAAGTAGAGGAAAGGCGCCTATTGGGATTCAAAATGGGGATATATTTGATTTCTCCAACATGACATCTGACTTGTACCATGAAATTCAAAGGCCATATTCAAAGGCCACACTCAACCAAAGGGGTGTTCCAGTGGTGGAAATATACTTAGGCAGAGGGGTGAAGAGTGTTTTGGTTGCACGTTAATTATATGCCTACTGACTTAATGACCTACTCCATCTATGCACAAATCCTGTCCTAAACAGAATTTTAATTTGTGGCCTTCTAATTTTGCCTTTAAAAAAGTTCATTATTTGACATCCTCACTAAATCATTTTTTAAATTGAAAGAAGATTATCTAAGCTATGCTTGAAATTTCTCCTTTAAATATTTTCTAACAGAATATCTGAAGAAAGGGAACCAGCCCTTAAAGTCACTTTTCTCCAAAATGCATCCTCTACCTCCAGACATTCTGCATTTCAGAAAAATTAAATTTAAATCTAAAATGTTATCTTGTCTTTTTCTATGAGTTAAAGGCACAGTGATTAAACTTGGATTTCATGGTAGCATAAGATT